CATATATATCCATATATATACATATATATGTATATATATATATATATATATATATATATATATATATATATATATATATGCATATATATCCATATATATACATATATATGTATATATATATATATATATATATATATATATATATATATATATATATATATATATATATATATGCATATATATCCATATATATATATATATATATATATATATATATATATATATATATATATATATATATATGGATATATATGCATATATATATATATATATATATATATATATATATATATATATATATATATATATACATATATATGTATATATATGGATATATATGCATATATATATATATATATATATATATATATATATATATATACATAAATATATATATATATATATATATATGCATATGTATATGTGTGTTTATATTTATGTATGGATGTATGTATACATACATACACATGGGTGGATGCGTGCGGGTGCAAACTGTACATGAATATACAGTATAGTGACAATTGTCAGACCTTAAATCTAAACAGCTATTTCGTACAGCTCTGAAATGCCAGTGTCGAGCCAAAGACTTCAGAATTCAGCTTCGTGGAAAAAAAAATCCGAAAAAAATATCTAATAAAAAAATGCATCACAACGCGTCATGCTTACTTGATCTCTAACGATGCAGATTGAATAACCGGATGCAACGAAGGGAAATCTTCGAGGAGAGGTTATGAAAGGCCTGCCATTACCATATGAACTTCAGAGGGCACGAGCTCATCGGGAAAACTCTACCATGCCGGAATCGCGGCTTGGCAAGACCGCGAGTTTAGGAAAACTCCGAAATAGGAAAGACACTATTCTCGGGTATGACCGCTGTCATTGTGTAATTTTGATTTGAGAATGTATTTTCAGATAGAAGATAATCACGACATAATAATATACTTACGGGGATCTTATTTGTGGGAATTTAGCTAATTTATTTGTCTTTTAAATGCGTTGCCATAAGAAGAGTTACAAACGGAACTGAGTGACTGTGCATCCTGAGTAGCAAACGTGACCACAAAGCAGCTAAAACGTCGAGTCATTTAAGGAACCACTGCTGTCACCTTTGTTCTGCCACTCAACCACAACCGTGAAAGGGACCCGAGACCATATCTGCTCAACGCCCTCTTTGGGCCTCGGGTCAGCTGCGATGACCCGCCCATTATACCAAAACCAAATCCCCATGACAGACTGCTAACAACTGGATGCTCCTTAGTGCTCTGTCTCCTCAGCTCGGTTTGCATGATCGGACCGCGGATGAAAGCCCTGCAACAGCTTCCTCAAGCAAGATGCCCATTGTGGATTCACGATTTCCAGGACCCAGGATGTGGCTAAACTTTTCGGAATATTCGCCTAGATGTGATACCATCATTTAACGCACCAAAAATTGCTTTGCATTTGAACTCTCAGCTTGGCTTTCGAATGATGACTGGCCATTTCAAGGGCCACACTTACTTTTACGAAGTTTTGTCTTGGCGCGCGCTGTCTCTCTCTCTCATGGAGAAGAGCTCAGAGGAGAGATAAGAATATAATAAGAGAAAAGAGAAGAGAAAAAATAAAGAGAAGATAAAAGGAGAGAGGGGAAATAGGAGAGGTAAGGGGCAAGAGTGGTTTAAAAGTTGAGAACTTGGTTGCTGGATTAAAGTTGTCGCTAATTTCGTACTTTAAATACTACGGGAGCCTGGCAGAGTAATGAACAGCGCCGATAACACGCCTGGTAGAGGTGCCCACGGGGGACTGAGGTTTCGTCATGTCCGCGAATAGTATCATTACACTTCGTTTCGTAATATTTCATAACACAAAACACGACGGGGTTTGAACGGACGTGATTTTGCATACAGGGGCCACGTATGGAATAGAGATTAATAATAACAATGGATGCCGTATGTGTTATGGGAAGTGGCAAGAGAAATATAGAGTAGATGAGAATTGTGATGTTTATGAGAATTAGGGTTCATGATATGATAAAATAGTTGAGCAATCATAAAAGGAAGGGAAGTGGAGAACAGCAATAGGAAGGAGGGAAGAGATGGAATAAATGGGGATGGAATGGGAGGCAAAGGGAGGATTTAGGAGAATTTATAGAGAAGAAAAGGGAGGGTGTAGGAGAATTTATAGAGCAGGGAAAGGAAGGGAAGGGAGGGGAAAGGAAGGGAAGGGAAGTAACAATATTACTTGTGGCTAATTCTGGTTCCCAACACCCAATAGTCTATATACACAGCATTAGTGGAACCATGTATAGTACCCTAGAAATATACTTCTCTGTGAATGCATCCACTGTGTTGATTAATTGATATTACAGAATTACTGAAGCCTAAACTTTCCAAATGATACAGACAAGCTGATATTATCTTGGTACAGAGAAAAAAAATCAATAAACCTTACCCAAAAATGGTATATAAAAAGTAATTTAACCTCTACATAATTTTGGCAGAATATATTTCTCAGTCAACAAAGTTTTACTCATTCACTAGCCTTGAATGTTAAAATGCTAATTGAAAAGAATAAATAATCCTGGAATTACCAAAATAAAGTTAAAGCATTAAACATGATTCTGGATGGTGGTAGTTAAATTTAGTCTGCATTTTTTCAGTATTGTATCATGATCTTTCATATATCATTTGAGGACAACAAGAGAGCACTGGCTACGAGAAGGTTAGATAAATTTAGTTGAATAGTAATAATTTTCCTACTGGAAAATATTTTTTTTCTTTGGTAACTCACTAGATAGCTGTAATAACAAAGTCACCATATAGCTGAAGAACTGCCTATGATATGAATTATTGAAGCTGACATCTATAATGACAATATACTGCCCAGATACACAAAAGTCTGTGGCAACCAACTTTAGTAATAGTGTATATGGTAACTTGTTTGGAGCTTCTTTAAATATTTACTCGAGTCTAAATGCTTGTTGGGGCTGTGCCAAAAGCCAACAGACCTCCAACATGCACTTTCTGTCAAGAGAGAACTTGTCAACCTCCCTAGCAATTTACTGTCAAACAAGGAACCCATCTAACCTCAATCTTGTAAGAATGTATACTAGGTTAATCTTTATGGATGTAAACTAAAGATGATATTGAGAGGGCTAAAAGTTGGGGTCATTGGTACAAGAAATAATCTGCAGACAAACACAGTAAAGCAACAAATAAAGGGAAAAGAAAAAGAATGTCCACTTGGTGCTCCTGAGTTTCAGCTCCCTCTTGCCATGCATACTCCTGGAATGTTTGCCAGATGTTGAGGAGCTGAGTTCCTCTCAATGCTCCCCTCGTGCAGTGACTGAAGGACACCCCAGTCACGGCAACTTCCATTATACTATGGGGGTTTTGTGGTCTTTGCTGGAGAACTGCAGAGTGTCACTACCTGACACTATGCCTCATACAAAAACTAAAGGGTTATTGGGGGTTGAACCACCTACCCCCTTGAAAACAATAAGTTAGTCTTCATTAATTTTACATCCTTATAATTGACATTTATAAATGACAATCACAATTACAATAAATGAACATTCATTATCATAATCAAAATTTACCAATTAAGAAATATATTCATGTTACTAACACAGAAATAGAGGGAACTGGATACTCCCGTCCAATAAAGCATAGGAAGTATTAGTAATTAACAACACAGGTACAGCTGCTCTGGCCTCTTATTTACTGCAAAATGACAAATATCCACTGCATATCACCACAACATTCTCACATTGCTAGTTCTTAATGTTGCATTTTCACAAAGTGCTAATAAGGGGGGGGGATTGCTCCCCCTGTCTAGGATATAAATAGAAGGTAAGAAAGGTTAGGTTTTGGTTTTGGGTTTGCATGATACCTGGTTTTGGGACTTTGTCTCTGGAGGATGTGTCGCTCTCGGTAACGAATACTAAAAAATAATTATCTAGAGTTGTCACAAAACTAAAGTCAGTCAGTCCTGTATCTAAGTGGTTGTAGGGGCATGTTTGCAACTGCACATGCAGGACCTTGAAATTGCAAAGCCAATGCCATAACATTAACAGAATCAACATAAATAGGCTAGAACAGTTAATGATACATATTTCAAAGTAGTATTACATGTCACCAAAAGTACAACATATGCTCCAAACACTGGACAATAAATCTGTCACTTTATATCAATTCCAGTGCCTTCAGCTCCTTCCGTGACAGCACCCCAAGCCTTCCGTGACAGCACCCCAAGCAAACGGTCTTGGCCTGGGCTCTGCTAACCAAACCAGGCTGGCGGTTATTCACTCCTTTACTTCTCACATTATAAGAATTGAATATAAACTCACATCCTTCTCCTCTAACTCACCTAAATCTCGCTGTACTAGAGGTAGCTGACACGTAGCAACAACATATACTGATTCATCGTGAAATGATTATTTTAAGGGCTTTTCATAACCAAAAAAGGCGTCGAATCCCTCGCTCAGAAATGGTCGCACACTTGGACGGAAATCAACGGTGGTTTAACAAGGGTAGATGTCTATTTTTTTGTGTGTTTTATAGAGAAATGTATATCCTATTCATATTCTCCAAGTCAAAGAAGATATATAGTAAAAGTTTTTTTTGTTTTGTTTTGTTCATAGTAGTTAGTTATCGTAGACAGAGCTTGTTATCGTACTATAGCTTTCATTGCCATCGCATTGGAACGCACAGATATATTTCTTTACATTTATTTTTATTAAGCTATGTCATCGTTTTCTCTGCATCTTATAAAGTAGCTAGTATAGCCTTCTTCCAAAATAGCGAAGCAAATATATATATACTTTGCAACTAAAGTGCTGTAAATTGTTAGGTTATTCCTTTACCATCTTTGACTTTACCAAAATAGAAAAAAAATTATTAAACAAATCAGCAATAAATTGGATTCTCTACAATATGTTATTTTCTCGCCAATTTAAGTTAGTTAAAACCTTTATATTATCGTTTATGAGAAAAATGGTAGGCGAATCGTCAATCAGCTGATTATGAATTCTTTTAGGAAATAATCAGCTGATCGGCGAGATGGTTCCCCGGGGAGACGCCTTATCTGCAGCAAGTTGAATCTGAGACCTTGTGATAAGCTGTAATTGTTTAATAAGGTACGGTAGTTACCTCTCAGTTCGTAGAGTGTACATCTTGAAGAAGAGCTTGTCACGTGTGTATGTGTACCATGAAATCCCTATATCTTTAATCCTTATATCGTTAACGATAACGTTTCGTGGTAATTTCTTGAATAGGTTCAGTATTTTATTCGTTTTATTTCTGTATGACTGTAAAACTGTTATGTCACACAAAGAGTGTTCATGATTTATATAGTTCATGTGTGTGTCTGAAGATTGATTAATAATATTTACCCAAATGTCATTGTTTGAAGACAGACAAGAGGGAAAACACGCACACTTAAACACCATACAATACCTGATCTCACGACTCTTAACCATGCCACACTATCATACACAGAAACACATGCACACATACACAGGTATATACATGCATGCAGGTTGGTATGTATCAATATGCAAATGCTCACACTCACCCACACTCACACTCATATTCACACTTTCACTCATATTCACACTTACACTCATATTCACACTTACACTCATATTCACACTTTCACTCATATTCACACTTACACTCATATTCACACTCACACTCATATTCATACTCATAGTCATCCTCACCCTCAACCTCACCCCCACACACACCCACACCTACACCCACACCCACACCTATTCTTACTCTTACTCTCACTCTCATTCCCACTCCCACACACACACCCACACCTACACCCACACCCACACCCACACCCACACCTACACCCACACCCACACCCACACCTATCATCATCATCATCATTGGGGGGCTAACGCCGGTAGGGGCGCATAGCCGCGTCCACCCTTTGTTTCCACCTGCGAGGGTCTCTCATGGCGAGCCGCCAGGCAGGGGCCCGGCCCATCTCTAGTTCCTCACGACAGGTTTGATCGATCTGCCCAAGCCATGACCTTCTTGGTCGTCCCACAGGCCTCCTCCACCCAGGGTTGTCTCGAACAGAGACAACCTGATGGGCAGGATCATCCTGCGGGAGTCGAGCCAAGTGGCCATATAGCCTGAGTTGGCGATCACGGATTGTGCAAGTAACAGGTCCTGTACCGGTCTCACGGTGTAGCTGTTGGTTGGACACATGGTCCTGCCAACTGTACCCCATGATCCGGCGCAAGGATCTGTTACAAAAGGCATCGAGACGAGATTCCAAAGCACAAGATAGCGTCCAAGTTTCACTACCATATAGTAAAACTGGCAGTATCAGGGCCTTGAAAACTCGTAGCTTGGTCCTTCTGCACAGGTACCGGCATCTCCAAATACTCTTGTCGAGAGATTTCATGACCCCTGCTGCCAGGCCAATCCGTCTACTGACTTCCTGGTCTGACAGCCCAGAGTCATGAACTGCACTACCGAGGTATATAAAACTCCTAGTGACTTCGATGTTTTCACCGCAAGCACGGACCAACTGCACAGGGTCTCCTAGTAGGCCCCCAGAATCCTGGATCTTGGTCTTGGTCCAGGAGACCTCTAGCCCCAGGGGCTTCGCTTCATTGCTAAATGCATCAAGAGCCACCACTAGGGTTTCCAGAGATTCAGAAAGAATGGCAACATCATCAGCAAAGTCAAGGTCTGTAACCTTGATATTGCCCAGAGTTGCTCCACAGTGACTTTGGACAGTAGCTCTACCCAGTATCCAATCCATGCAAGTGTTGAAAAGTGTTGGTGCAAGGACACAGCCTTGCCTCACGCCTGAACTAACAGGAAAGAAGCTCGACAGGCCCCCACCACACTTTACAGCACTTTCAGTGCCTGTATACAAGTTTGCTATTAGCCCAACAATCCTTGTTGGAATTCCTCTCAGTCTCAGGATCTCCCAGAGTGATTCGCGATGCACCGTGTCAAACGCCTTCTTGAGGTCGATGTAGGCTGCAAGCAGCCCACGTCCGAACTCACGACGGCGCTCTACAATGACTCGAAGCACCAGGATGCGGTCTATTGTGGACTTACCAGGAGTGAATCCAGATTGCTCCGGTCTTTGGTGCCTCAGGAGGTGGTCTCTGATACGTCTCAGTAAGATGTGGGCGAGTACCTTGCCTGGGACACTGAGCAGTGTAATGCCTCGGTGATTGCTGCAGTCCCACCGATCCCCTTTCCCCTTCCAGAGAGGGATGACCATACCCCTCAGTAGGTCAGGGGGAATGGTACCGGTCTGCCAGATGGCAGACAGGACTGCATGCAAGCCCCTTGCCATAGGTTCTCCACCAGCCTTTAACAATTCAGCTGGGATGCCGCAGACACCTGCTGCTTTACCACTCTTCAGCTTGGAGATCGCCCCCCTGACTTCAGTCAGGGAGGGTGGATCCTCGCTGATGGGTGGGTCTGGCAGAGGAGTCTCAACATTCCCAGCATCCAAGTTAACTGTTGGTGGATCAACCTGATACAGCTGCTCAAAATACTCAGCCCAACGCACACGCACCCCATCAGGATCTGTGATTACCTGACCACTCGCTGAGTGGACTGCCGTCGTCTGTGAGGAGGGCTTGGAGTTCAGCTTTCTCAGGGCTTGGTAGGCA